GGCGTACCTACGACATCTGGGCGAAAACGAGGCTTCAGAGCTCGAAATTTGTAGAAATTTCGCAGGGCTTGATGATTGTGTAGAGGGAAATAGAGAAGTTGAAGGAATAAATTTGAATGTAGAGACACAGATCATGATGAGAAATTTTCCGAGAAAATTCTTGATTTCCCCGGGAAAATTCAGCCAGAAAGCAAATCGAGCGAGGAGAAGCAGAGGAAGTTTCTCGTTCTATCTTCAACTTCTGAGAAAAAACTCGTGTGTGTATAAAAATTGCCACGTCACCAGATTTTCCATTGCAAATGGGCTTACGATCTAGAAGACAAAGGCCCAATAACTCATAATCTGATGACGTGGCAAGATATGTTTTCCCGCCAAAACTCGACGCTCCCTCCTTCTCTCTCTTTCTTCAACCCAAATCTAAAATCGGAATCTCTCTTTCTCACTCACTGTTTGATTTCAATGGCTGGAGATTTGTTATACGCCAAAACGCAGCGTATCGTGCTTCTGATAGATCTCAATCCGCTTCTGGTCAATTCCAATTCGGAGAAGTACGTAGCCGTCGTGATCTCCGCCGCGGAGAAGCTTCTCTCGTTCCCTCCTTTATCAGCTTCTCTATTCTCTATCAAATTCTTCTTTTCTTCTCTATCTTCTTTATTGTCTTCCTCGAAGCTCTCTGCACTATCAATTTCATCTTCTTCACTTTCATTTGACCTCCCTAACCCTACGCTCGTCTCTCTTAAACGCGCCTTCGCCGCCGTTAAACGATGTGAACTTCGATCTACTTCCACGGCGGTGATGCGGCCTCGTGGGGTTAATGTCGCGGCATCTTTGCGACAGATCGTCTATGATTACGCTTGGGAGCCTGTGGTTCGAGATCCGGAGATAGGTATGATTCCTGGGTTTACGGATGGTGGGTTAGAGATCGTTAGGTCGAATTTGGTGGTGATGTTTTCCCCAATTTCTAGGGATTTGAAATGGGTTTCTGAGTTTCTTGATGTTAAGAGTGGTGATGAGTGTCTGAGCGACTTGGATTTGTTCAAGTCAAAATTAGGTGAGATTTTTGACTGTGTGAATGACTTATTCGATAATAGGGATATTCTCTTAAGCTGGATTGATGTAAAATCTGAAGATAGGTCTGGTGAAATGGGATTGAAGTCTGGGTTTTTCGAGAGTGGAATTAGAGAATTGGGTTGGGGACATTGTTCTACGGATTCGATTGTTTTCGGTTCTTCGATTGTTCCCTTTGGATTAATTTATCCAACAATTGGTATGTGCCCAAAGCTATCTACTAGCCAGAAGTTTACTGTCCAGAGCAGTCTCGAGATTGCAGATATTAATGGTAAGCCTATTGAATGCAAATGTGGTGAGCTAGAGTTTTCTTCTTCTGAAATATTTAGTGGAAAGAGGTGTGATGAGTTCATAAACTTGGCTAGTGCAGCTGAGGAACCCCATCAGGACTCTCTAATTGAAGAATTTCGTCATGGAATCACCAAACTCAGTATTAAAGCCTTGAGGATGTGTGATGATCTTATCGAACTTGAGAGGTATACCTGTGATACTTTCCTTGTTCGTGAAGTCTCCCAGGTATCTGACCAAGATCAGGAGCAAGAGAGTGGATTTTGGGCTGACCGGGTCCTTCAGATACTAGAAAAGGAGACGGGCGAGAAAGTAGCAAAAAAGTCATCACCAATCTGGCAGATCTTGTTAAGTTATCTCTGTAGGGAAGGTTACTCAGCTTTGGTATCTCTAACGAATAGTAATGGTAGTTCTCGGACAGGAATCCTCAAGCCCTTCACTTTCTCCACGGGTTTAATCTGTGTTTTTGACAATGAAGTCTCTCCTCAAACAGTGGATCATGAAGATAGCAGGAAGGAAGTCAATTGTAGCGAATATACAAGAAAAGCAAGCAAAAAGCTTCTGAACTCACTTCATGCGATTAGCTGGGAAGAGTTCTGCAGATCAGTGAAAGATTATGGTCAAATAGATCTAGAGGATGTATACTTTTCCAAGTTTGGCAAGTCAAAGAAATTTAAGTTTCTGAAATGTTGGATGAAACAGATTAGGCAACCCAGAGGTTGCAGCTTATCCGTAGCTAATAATTGCGATGCACAGGAGGATGTGGAAGCAGATCCAATTGAGAAAACGCTCAACTCATTTGAAGAGAAAGAAAAGGCTGTCTCTTTACCTGTATCTGAGGAGGACATTGCTTTGAGTGGAAATCGTATATCCGTAAGGCACGAGAATGATACATCTGTTTATGTATCAGAGTCATCAGAAGGTTTCTTTGCTAATCTTCCTAGCAAAATCAAGCAAGGGATTGAGTCTGAGGAAATAGACTTGGCAGCTCTAGCTGAGCGACTTGTCAAGTCCTGCATATTCTATTCCTCTCAAAGACTCGAGAAGGATTATAGCTGTGAGAATGGAACCCTCTTGTTGGTTACAGAGGAGCTCATCAAGATGTTGCTGAAAGAGCCGAAAGATTTAGTCGCCAAGTTTAGAAAGAAAGAAGCATCATCCATGGCATGTGAGCAGAAGTCTGATGAAACTGCACCTGGTAGCATCATTAGAGAGTATCCTTTTTTCTGTTTTATTGCACTACCCAACTTATTCTTGTGCTTTGATCTGGTGCCATTTTACTGATGCTTATATCCATTATCTAAGCTGTTGACATTATTGCTCTGTTTTCTTTAATTTTCTATAAGATACGAGCTGCAGATTCTTTTCCGAATGGAAATTCTAAGATCAGAGATAGGTTTGGGAAGTGAGGAGTCTGTGGCGCAGAAGTTTGCAAAACAAATTTGCATGCTTCTTGAGGCCATTCAGTGCAAGTTAGACGGTGGATTCTTTGGTGATTGGAGCCTTGATAAGTATGTCAACAAAATTATAAAAGCCAGGTATATAGTCTCCCATTCTCTGAAAGTTTTGTATTTTTGAGTTCTGTGTATTCATGCTAATGCATTGACTTGCCCTTCTCAGGTATCATCATATTCTTGGAGAAGTAGTCAGTATAATTTATACAGAGATGGATCTGCTTATGTTCAGCGACGAGGATCTGGAAGATAGTTTCATGAACAACGAAGACAGTAGTCAATCAGGAAGAGAAAACATCCAAAGCAATATCAAGAGTCATCATCATAGTCGAAGAAGTAAAGATGTTCCTCGTACGAGTAAGAAGTCCCTTTTGCAGAAAAAAACAAAGGAGTGCAGAGAAGTTGAGGCACAAGAAAGGAGGGAAAGGGCAAGAAGATTCTCGAGTTTCACAAGTTGGATGCCTGACCTTTGTAGAGTTTGGGCACCTAAACAAGCGAAGAACTCC